ACTAAACGTGCGTGAATTTTTGTTTTCGGCAGTGATAGAGTGCATGAATTTTCTTTGGGTACAAGTATGCACGCAGGAATTACTTAAAAAGAAATCACCCACCCCCTCCCTCAAAGTCAAACGGTCGTCCACTTCTAAAATGACTCCACTCTGTTCCTGGCCTGCCAGAAAAGGAACCAGAGGGATCACCAACAGTTACCTGTGTCTCAGCTCCTTTTTATCGGACACCAAAAGTTGCTTCTGAATATCCATGCACGATGACACCTGCCAATCAAAAGTCAACAGTCAAGGGTTTTTAGTTCAATAAATTGCTTTATAACGTGTACATGACTAGCAACTTACTTCATGGTGAATGGCTGAGAACAAGCCAATTTACCGCACTGCAGTGCAATTTTCTCAGTCTTACATATATAATAGATGAGCATTGTACAAAGCTCGGGTAATTAATGATTTACACTAATCATAAGTTTTGATGTAATATATCAAACACGAAAGACAGTGTTTGACCACATTTCCAAACACCGAGAAGAGAGTTGAAAATACGACGCGTAGCGGAGTATTTCTGACGAATTTAGAGATTACTTCGTTGCAGTTAACTTTGCGAAAAAAAAAAGGACATTGATTAACAACTGATGTCTTGAAAAGACTCTTTACCTTTATGATCTCTTTACAAACGTTCTCGCTGGAGGACAGGACAGCCAGTGCTCCTGAAGCCGCTCTAACGGATAAAATAATAACCGTAAATAGCTGTTCAGTAAATAACCCTTTAGTATTCCACAGATGAAGCGGAATATCAATGAAGCATTTCCGCGTGGAACTATTAAACAATTAGATTATGAGCTCGAGGTTTCTATCGCATGATTGTTGACGAGGGCTGTGCCCTCGTCAATTATCACGCATAGAAACTGAGACCGAAAAATCTAATTGTTTTAGTGTAAATCTACTAGTCGTTCAAAACTTTACCTAAATCCTCTTCACAGACACGTCGAAAACGCCAAGAAGCGGCCGTCATTTTGTTAACAAGCACACACTGCTACGCTACTCACTATCTATCACAGAATAGATAGTGATTAGCGTAGCCAATCAGACTACGGCATTCGTGATAGAACGCTAGTAGATTAATACTAGAACCCAATAGACGCACGCTTAACTGTGACACCAGTGATACCTGGTTCGAGTACAACAACATCGTGTGCAAATAAATGTGGTTCTAAGCAGAGTAATAAAGTGGTGACGTTTTCAACTCCTGCAAACCCATCGGGTCGCCTTTGTGAAGTTTACACCTTTAACCGGGAGTTCACCAGAAGAGTCCCACCAAATGATTTTTCCCAGA